TTATATGGCAATGACTTGTCTGACAGATATAGCCGTGAGTTTGTGTTAAGCGTATGACGATCTGACAGCGTATGCTGACCTGACAGAACACTCTGTTCTTGTAATCCTCTGCATACACTGCAGTAGCTATCATTATTTGATTTAATTATGTACATTGAGATTTTTTAATTAACAAATAAATAAAACACAAGAATGAGAGAGCACACAGAGCATGCACATTGCTCTTTGATTGTTTTCGTTCAAAGTGGCAGCTGTAATGGTAGTCTGCCATGGTGTCAGACTACCTGACTTCATGTAGCGGGAGAGAGGTTGAGAGTAGTCACGGTGAGCGCCTTGTGCATGGTTACTTCTTGCTTGTTGCTCCTTGGTCAGTGTTCATAGTTGAGCGTCAGAGCATTACCTCAATTGCTATGTTTAATGGTGCAGACTGGTGGTTTCTGACCACCAGTCTGCACCAGACTGGTGCAGACTAGTGGTCTGCACCAGTCTGCAGACCACCAGTCTGCAGACTGCACCCAACAAGCCCTGGGTGCTTGTCGGATTGGACAAGCACCCAGGGCATTATTTTTTTAGGGATGGCACGAGACCACCTCAGATCGTAGCACAGAGCACAGATTAATATTGGCTAAATTTATTAGGTATTTAATATCTAGGTGTTTTATGGGAATATGGATCTTTCAGATCAATTTGAGAAGTAATTTTGATCATATTTCACATTTTATCGTATCATGTAGCGTGGGCCGCTGGTCTTGGTCTTGACTTGGTCTTGGATTAGGTGGTCTTGACCACAACACTGGGTGGTTGACTGGTGGTTGAATGGTGGTTGACTGGTGGTTGAATGGTGGTTGACTGGTGGTTGACTGGTGGTTGACTGGTGGTTAAATGGCGGTTGAATGGTGGTTAAATGGTGGTTGAATGGTGGTTGAATGCCACTCTGAGGTTTCATGGCTGTAAATGCTGTTTTGACAGAAAAATGTTTAAAAGCACAAACTGATGGAGGTCTGCACTTCCTTCGCTCCAGATGATTTAATGCTTCCCATGACCTCTGACCTCCTCAGACAGAGCTGTAACCTTCGCTGAGTTCCTATTGGCTGACAGCTTCAGTTCATATTAATTTAAACTTCATTCATCCCAAAGAGAAATGAAATAGCTTCAGTTGATCTTCAGTAGCAGTCAGCGTTACAGTGAGTCTGAAAAGGCCTCTGACTAAAGAATGCTGCTGTGTGACAGTCTCATGCTAACAGCTGAGCATTCAGGCAGCAACCTGTCATGACATCATCAGCAGCTGATCTGGCTCCTTTGCTTTTCCTGCTTCCTCTTTAAACTCCGTCTAGGTGGAAATGTTGGAGTTCGGGATAATGATGGATCCAACTCCTCTGGGATTCAGGGTCAAGGTTCAGGTTTTATCTCAGCTCCTGGTCGTAAAAACTAAACCCCTTGTTGTCAAGGGTTTGCATCATAACAACGGTCTTAAACATTGGCAATGAGTTAGCCTGAAGGTCTGCAGCCTTAGTGGGTTAATCAGTCCTCACTCGTTTTAGTCGTTGAAGCTAGTATAGGAAACTCACACCGTGACCTTTGAACTGCTGACAAGCAGCTCTGTGTTTGCTCAGGCTGCTGCTGAAGGCTGGCATCGACATCAACAAGACCAACAAGTCTGGAACGGCGCTGCATGAAGCTGCGCTGTACGGCAAGACGGAGGCGGTGCGACTGCTGCTGGACGTGAGTCACTGCAGGCGTTTCTGCCGCACTGAATGATTCCTTCCGTATCAGTGAGTTCAATCAGTTCAGTCAGTTCAGGTCTGATGTCTTCACTCTGACTAGCCCCGCCCCTCAGTTTAAGCCCCGCCTCTTTATTTGCATATAAGAACAAGAAATAGAAATGGAGGTAAAAAGTAAAAATCCATGAAATACACAAAGCAGCTTTATCAAATAAAACAGTAATGAAATAGGCTCTCTATTAAAAAGTGAATTGTAATATTTTTATTTCATTTTTCAGTAATTCATTATTCTATGTATATTTCATAGAGTATTTATTACTTATTATTAACAATTTTCATTTATTTCTTTTTGACTGAACTGATTCTCTATAGATTAGAAGGAAATAAAACATAAGATAATAAACAGAAGTAATGAAGAGTTAGAATCCAGACCATAATAATCCAAGTTCAAGTTCTGATCAGTTTTTAGTTCTGATTTGAAGGAACTCAGTTCTTCAGCTGACAGAAGGCCGACTTTAGAAATGTTTTTATGTGATTCTTCTATATATCTGGATCTATGTCTCTAGATCTGTAACTACAGATTTCTAACTCTATAACTCTACACATATAACTCTAGATCTGTAACTCCACATCTGTAACTGTAGATCTATAACTGTACATGTGTAACTAGACCTATAAATGTAGATCTGTTCTTCTTGATGATAAACTGGTTTAGTTGTGGGAACAGTTTGGCGCCCCCTGGTGCTGATCAGCTCTCAGCGGCCATGTTTCTCTGTCCAGGCTGCCGTGGATGTGAACATCAGAAACACCTACAACCAAACGGCGCTGGACATCGTCAACCAGTTCACCACGTCCCACGCCAGCAAGGACATCAAGCAGCTGCTCAGAGGTCAGAGGTCACACATCAGCCGACAGGAGCCCTGAGGGAGTCTCAGAGTTTTGCACTCCATGACTGTCCAAACCACATCTTTACAAATCTGAATAACATTTGTACAGCCTCCACGTGCACGCTCAGCCTCCACGTCGCTGCATGATTTATTGAGGAGTCTGTTCTCAGTGAAACTGTTTCTGGTGCTTCACTGGCTCTTCATTCAGACCAAACCAAACGCTACTACCAGAGTTTTGCATGTTCTGATCAGATGAAGTTCTGATGGGCTGATCCAGTTCTGATCCGGTTCTGTTTCCTCCATAGACGCGACGGGAATCCTTCAAGTCAGGGCCTTGAAGGACCACTGGAACCTCCACGACCCAACCGCGCTCAACATCCGGGCCGGAGACGTGATCACGGTGAGACGCTGTGGTACCAACACTGGTTCCAGAGCTGTGGTACCAGAACCACGTCTCTGGTTCTGGTCTGAAGAAGATGGTGGTTACAAACTCAGTCAGTAAATCAGGAGAGCAGACTTTCTGAAAGCCTGGAGTCCATTACAAATAATTGTCACCTCTTTATTTCACGTTTGTATTATTTTAAACATGTTGAATAGCAAAGTTCATGGCCTAATAATTTAATCATGAACAAATTATTTAGTAAAAATGCAGAACTTTTGAAATATTTAACAGATTTTTGTTCACTGGATGTTCATTTCTGAATGAAGCTCATAATTTTCTATCATGTTTCATTCAGCAGAGCTAAAAGACAACATATTAAAAACACCTGCAGTTAGCTGCTAAGCTAGCGGGGCTACTAGCATGCTAGCACGAAGATGCTAACAGAGTAGAACAGTTATTTCCTTCTCTAAGCAAAGTTTACATGAAGCTGGTTAATGGAATAACAAATATTATATGACAAAGGCTGTATGGTGATCATATCCACTTGCTTGGTGAACATTAACAAGCTAGAAGTAAACCAAATCTAGAATCTTTACCGTTTGTGATCTTCTTCATGTTTCTGTGGGGACTGGCAGAGGAAGCACCGCCACCCTGTGGTGGAACTCGGAACAACATCTCAATTCAATACTTTTACTCCTTTTAATTCAGGTAAATTATAAATAAATCTTTATTGATAATGTCTAATCAGAAACATGACGACCCCTAAGACCTCTGGTCTAGAAAAACATTTCTAGATTGTGTCCTGGTCCAGGATTCGGACTCTGAGACAATCCATGAAGATCCACCAGCAGAACTAAATAGGTTCTGCTACAGAAACCATCTTGTTTGTAGCTGCATAGATGATTCATAAACTGAGAAATTCTTGTTAAAACCAAACCAGACAGCCTGGTTACAGAAGCCTGGTTCTGGTTCTGCTTGTCAGCCCAAATCTCCTGCTCTCAGCCTGAAGGTGTTTTCATGCCAGCTGCTCGGTGTCGCCCCCTACAGGTGTTGGAGCAGCACCTGGACGGGCGCTGGAAGGGCCACATCCACGACAGCCAGCGGGGAACGGACCGGGTCGGCTTCTTCCCTCCGTCCATCGTGGAGGTGATCAGCAGGCGGAACGGTCAGTGAGACGCCAAGATGGCGGCTCTGATGTAATCAGCTGATCATATGATCAATGTCAGCATTTCTAAAGGCCTGCTTTACCTATGGTCTATGTTCTGACTCAGTTCTGATTTGTTTTGACTTTAACTGGACTTGGTCTGTCTTATCCTGGTTTAACTTTCACTTAATTCTGTTTTTTTTGTTTGTTTGTTTTTGTTTTAACTGGAAATACTCTCAGCTTCATGCTGTTTGTTTCATATGGTTTTCAGGGTTTCCCCCAGAAAACTTGCTAAGCCCGGTGGTCGGGGCGTCGAGGCGGCCCACCGACGGTCCACCGTGTTTTTGTATTAAAAGATGTTAAGTTGACAGGAAATGTAAAAGTATTACTGTGTAATTATATGTTACGGGAAAAGATCTCCAGTGAAATGCTATTTAAACCCACAACTAGTCTAAAAACAACAAATTTGCACTTCTGTTTAATCCAAATTAAGTCAGCGGCTCCATCAGGCCCCCAAGAGCTTCAGGGGCCCCATAAACACTAATATTTTAAAACAGATCACAGATACATAAATGTAACACTTGTTTATTGAGATGATCAATGCTGTTAAATTTGATTCAATTGTTTAGGCATACATAAATTAAATGATTTTAAATTGTTTAATATTTAAATACAAGATTTTAAGGAGCTGGCAAGTTTACTTTGTAAAACTTCAAAGAACAATATTCAGTTAGATTGTTTTGTTACCATAGCAACAATCTGATGCTGTGAGTTTAATCTTTGAATTTACAAATCCAATTTTGTAAACTGCGATTATAACTTATTGCTTTTTAGGCTGGCCAGTTAAACTACTCCCTTCTCCCATATTTCACCAACTCTAACACAGAAGCTGTTAGAGGTGCTGATGATTGTAGCAGCTAGAGGGGCCCCTAGTCAAATTCTGCTCAAGGCCTCATATAGCCTTGGACCGGCCCTGCATGATGAGGTAATCTGCTGCACTATGCAGAGATGCACAACAAACGGGAAATTTGGCTTTACTAGTTGTTCCACTTCATGTCTGTTGAGTTTTTAATCGTCACAGAAACTTTTCTGGTTGGTCGAGTTTATGGGACTCGACCGTGTCTGACGTCACGAGTTTCTCAGATCTCTGCGCGCATTAACTCTAAGACAACGCATTTGATATGGTTTGATGCATCGTGTAACCAGAATAATACTAAAAATAATAATAAAGTAATATAAAATCAGCATGACTCCGAGGAGAGCGTTAAAGCTCCTCACCGGGCTGAACCTGCATGATCAGGTTAGCGCTGCTCGTTATCCACAAACGCTCCGGCCAACCGGGACCACAGACATAAACCTTACAGGGAAGACAGACACAGAGCCACACGCTGGGCAGCGTGTTGAGATTGAAACGCCGCATATAATTGTTCGTTCACAAAGATAAATCATTCTCACCGCTCCACAACGCTTCACTTCATCCCAGTCAAGGCTGATGAAGAAATTTAGGTCAAGGAAATTATAGTCACTATGTACTCATTAGTTAAGCATTTAATAAATCATGTTAATTGTTATATTAATTTCAAATCATAATAAAAAAAGAGAATAGTTTATTTCATAAACAAAAATGTATCTGTGTTTAACTTCCTCACCGTTTCTTTCTCTGTGCTGCTCTCAGCTGGTATCTGATGAACCGTCCTCCACTCTGTCACTTCAACCAACCAATTCAAAGGTTACCATAGAATTACTAACATAGACACCAAGTACTTAACAAGTGACTGAGAGTGGATCCAGGCTTGGAGGTGGAGAAAAAAAGTTCTTTATTGGATTAAATTTATATGAATGAAGCAAAAAAAATAGAGGAAACTTTGTCCAACTGTCATGATTTACTTCTTGGGGTGATGCATGGAGCAGGTGGTGGGATCCCCATCTGATGTTTTGGATCTTCAAGCAGTTGAGTTGGATGTTAGCAGACTAGCTTCTCCACCTCACGTCACAACCTGCTGCCTTTTGTCTTCAGGTTTTCTCTTGCACAAAAAAAGGTGGACTTCTGGGAAGCATCCAATTTATGGACTGGAATTTAATAGACCGAGCCTGGAGTCTGACAGAGAAGGGAGGTCCCACTGCACAACACCGGGTGGTGTTGGTTTTTCCCAAGATGGATGAAGGAGCTTCAGCAGAGTGGGATTCATTGGAATCAGGCGGAGCATGCTGGGAGTCCTGGAAGGTGGGAATCTCGTGCTGAATCGAGGATTCGAACGCTGCTGATGAAGGTAAGACCAGATTTGTATCCAGAAGTGTAGAGGGTGGAGCATCAGCCATGGAGCAGGGCCTCGTGATGGTTTGTCCATCTGTAGTCTGTGAGGTTGGAGCAGATGAGCTACATGCTAGTCGATTAGCTTCTTGCTGTCTTCTCTTTTGAGGCTTTTCTCTTTTAATGCGAACCATTTTTTTTTCTGTCAGAGCAAAGTGGATCTTCCTCTACCAAATGCAACAAGTAGAATGACAGGGCCTCCGAAAATTATTTAAAGCAGAAAAAACAGAAATCCCACCCCTTTATCTCTATTGGCTCATTCAAACATAAACTAATAAAAGTGGGATGGGGAGCAGGAAGATAAAAGCTGTTGGGGGTGGAGCCTATCCATGCGAGGAGGAGTTGCATCAGAAAATTTGCATAGGTATAAAACTTTCAACTTAGGGGGAGGGGAATAACTGGGTCAAAGGTCATGTTGCTGTCTGTTTTATTTTGATAACTTAATTTAAATCAAAACAGATATTTTTATAGGATAATATGATAATAGGATATATAATAGGATATATGATGCAGATTAACAGATGTCCGGACTGAACCGGACTGAACTGGACTGAACTGGACTGAACTGGACTGAACTGGACTGAACTGGACTGAACTGG